TCCGGCTGCCCGGAGCACTTCCGGGTTCCTGATGGTGCCGGACCATCAGGAGTGCCGGACCGTCAGATGCCGGACCATCGGAGTTTTACTGTATATGCAAACACACTTAAGTTGTGGCCCTCAGCATGTGTTGTGAGTATCATTGTGGCCCCCCGGGGCTTCCAAAGTTGTGTAGCCCTGCTCTAAGATGATGTAAAATACTGTACTGAGCTGTAAATTAACATGTTCTTGTGGTCAGATTTGCACTTTTTGAAGAAATATGTGAAGTAGTATCAGTGGGAAACTTGATTTAAACCAATGATTTTTTTTTTAGGTAATTTAAATTATTTAAATCAATGATTTTAATAGACTTGATTTAAATCAATTCACTCTGATGATCTCTCTGTCCCCAAGGAAGTTGGTTTATTGTCTTCTCTTCACCAAAGATGCCCCTTCTGGGTCTCTTTAGAGAACTGGCTGGGATGCAAGAATGGACTCTCCTGAGAGTCTATAAACCTTTTACTATATGGGATTTACAGTAGAACAGAATGGTCCGTGTTTGTCCTGGGAGGCCAGTTACAGAGGTTTTATTAGAGAGGGAGCTGAGCCTGAAAGTCTTTTACTAATACCTGGATTTGCAGGGTCTGTGCTGTGTCCAGTACCTTCCTTTCGTGACCCAAGAGAGAGCAGAGACTGCTGAGCTCTGCAGTCAGTGTTACTGACAGCAGGTGTGAATTTCAAGGAATGCCATGATTTTTTTCCTCTGGAATGCTCTTTCCTGGCCACAGGTTGTCCACCACTGTGCTACAGGTACCAATGGCTTATGTTCAGTCTGTCCACCAGTATGGATCAGGCACTGATGAGTTTAGGAGACTGATGTCATGTGACTAGTGTTAATTTTTTTTTGTATTGAATGATAAAATTTTGCAAGTAATACCTTAGTATAAAAATACCTGATTATACTAGATGTCATAGTTCAAGGACTTTCCAATTCCCATGTAGGCACATACACTTGGTGGAATGCATCATAATCCTGTCCATGCCTCTCTTGAACTGGAAATGAAATCCTCTACTTAAAATTGTTTGTACAAATGAAATGAACTCCGAATGGAGAAATAAAAACAAAGAACTAATTATACAGATTGCAAAATCCACAGAGACATAAAAAATAGGAATACTAAAGGTAAGACCTGGAAGCTTAAAATACTTGATCAGAAGACTCAGCAGAAACCTCAGATATTAGTTTCGCTGACCAGCAAGGAGTGATGTGACCCAACAGGCTTAACAGAGTGGTGTACAGGCAGTCCCCGGGTTACGTAGAAGATAGGGACTGTAGGTTTGTACTTAAGTCGAATTTGTACTTAAGTCGGAACTGGCGTCCAGATTCAGCCGCTGCTGAAACTGACCAGCGGCTGACTACAGGAAGCCCGAGGCAGAGTTTCCGGAAGATCCCTTATTCCTACTTTCAAGGGATAAGGGATCTTCAAGTAGGAATAAGGGATCTTCCGGAAAAGGGCTTATTTTCCACAAGATCCCGTCTAGACTGGCACTTTTCTCCGGCAAAACCCCGGGCTGGAAAAAAGTGGCAGACATGTTCATGCAAATGCCGCGGGGATATTTAAATCCCCCGCGGCATTTGCAATTCCGACTGGTCTCATTAGCATCCCTTTTCCGGAAAGGGGTGCCAATGTAGACAAAGCCTAAAAGTTCTTATCAGCAAGTAATACAAGTTCATGGAGCAGCATTACTGTAGTTCAAAATCTCATTCACCAGACTGCTAGATTGTTTTAGAAAACGAATAAAAAATTATTGCGCTCTAGTGGGGCCATTAAAATAAATAGCGTTTGAAATAGGCTCCCAAGCTTACCATTATTAATAACATTAATACAATGGAAACATTTTTGGTCTAACAAGTACTGAGCGTAGAAAACTTTTGAAGTTTTCTAAATGTTTCTATTTTACATTTATACTGATTACAGGTAGTTTGCTGGTATCATTAACACTAATATTTTTATTTCTCTTCAGTTTAAAATACTTCTATTTAAATAAAAATATGGGTTCTAGTAATTGCTTCTGTATTTTAACAGCTTCTCATTACTTGGTTCTCCTTTTGTTAGGAAATAGGACAGTTGGCTAATCAGCCTTTATTTTCCAATTGTTAGCTTTACATCAGGATTTTTTTTTAAATTTATTCACATCCAGACCTGCCATCTTTTATTGCCTGTCAGGATTATTGCTTTCTGCTATTTAAAATTTTTTATTACTCATACAAAAACATCTGAGTCTTAGTTTACTTCTCCTTTCCGAAGCAGGATCATGAGGATGTCTTAGTGTCCTAGTTCAGTGTTTCTCAACCTTTTTTTATAAAGTACCCCTTTTAAAAAAAAAATATCCCTGGGACCTACAGTTTTCAAACACACACATTTTTTGACTACCATTGCAACACATTTGTTTAAACAACTTAATCGTAGCTGGGTGGGCGGTCAAATTTTTGGGTGTAAAAAGTGCAAAAATAATAAAGCTCTGTAAAACTTAAAACAAAAATACAGTTCTCTCCAAATTTCAGTTGTGTAGCTATACCCCTGCAGACTTCTCTCAAGTACCCATAAGGGTACTCGTACAACTGGTTGAGAAACTCTGTCCTAATTCACCTTCAGAGGGCCACATGGCCAATTAATGCAGACAAAAGAGGAATTCTTTGTCCGTAGGGAAGAATTAGTTGTCCAAATCACAGCTAAGAGAAACACATAATTTTTTTAAAGGAAAAGTCCTATTCCTGTATTCATATTTCCCTTCTATTTATTTTATTTCACGTGAGTTTTACTGAGAATAGCTTTTGTATAATGTTGGAAGACACTTGCTTAGTGCCCTTTAGAGTGTGGTGTTGAGCAATCTTTAGATATTTGGACTAGCTTTCTGTTTCTTTATTGACTTGAGCTGTTAAACTATATAGAGTAATTAGACCGGTGTGGACAATAAGAGGGTTGCGGGCTGGAAATGGTTTGCCAAGGTTAGCTCCTTGCAGGCCACTGGTGCTTTATTTACCTGTGTACCCAGAGGTATGGCTGCTAGCAGCTCCTATTGGCCATGGATTGCTGTTCCTGGCCAGTGGAAGTTGTAAGGAAGGGGTGCAAACCAGGCCACTGCTTCCAGCAGCTTCCTCTGGCTGGGAACAGTGATCTGCGGCCAACAGGGACGATGAGCGGCCATACCTGTGGATGCACAGGAAAATAAAGTGCTGATCACACATGGTTTGTAGGCTGCTTATTGCCTCTCTCTGATCTAAAGGCATTAATCTGCATTTTTGGATCACATTGTGCTAAGATTGTATAAGCACACCGTGACAAGCCCTGCTACAAAGACCATGTAGTCTAAAGAAATAAGGTAAAAGATGAAGGGGAAAATTGTGGTATACTCGTTCCTCCATTGGAAGAACTGACACAAATGAACTGATTTGCCCAAGATCACATGGGAAGTTTGTGGCCATCCTGGGATTTGAATATGGATGTTTTGAATCCTGGTTCCTCATCACAGGACTACCCTTTCTTGTAGCTAGGTGCATTTTTCTGTAGTGTTAAATATCTGACTAGTTCTTCAAAGGATACTGAAAGGAAATGGTCCTTAATAAATCTCTCAGCTTCTTTTCAAGGAGAGTGCAATGCTAGTATGCAACTGTTAACTATTCACTTTGTCTTGTAGTTGATACAAATAGTTTAGAAAATGTGTTTATGGATTCCCGGGACACATTTCAAAAGCTGGTTTTTTTTGTTTGTTTTTAAGACACTACATTTTTATAACACTGTTAGACAACTTTGTGCTTATCTCAAACATGGCTTGAGGAATATTATCTCCTTATGGCTAGCTATGCCAAAAATAATGTAATTATCATTTGTATAGAATGCTATTTCAGAGTATCTTTGTTTTTGTCCTTTTTACAAGTTCTGCAGACAGGTTTTATAGCATAATATTCATATGAAATCTTTTCAAGTTTATTTGATAATCATAATTCTAATTCTCAAATGCATTCTGTTTTGCTAGTCTTAAGCTGATACTTTACACCAATGTATGTTCATTTTCTGTTTAATAGCATTCACTGTAATGATTGGCTGTTTCAAAGTCACTTTGTCTTCTACAGCTTGCATTGAAAGGATCTAACTACAGTGGACTACTGGAGCGACACTATATTCATACCAAAAATGTGGAGCATGTTGTAGACAGTTTAAGGTAAGAGCATACAGATTAGTGGTGGTTGGGAGAAGTTTGATTTTTGACAGACTAAAATAACTTTTCATTAAGTATATCTGGGGTTATTAAATGTCCCTGAAGTATGGGAACGATTGTTTCAAGATCTGTATTGGATTGTTTTGCAAGAACTAGCATCCTGTAATAACAAGGCTTTGCTCACTCTAGCTGTCTGACCTGGTGATATTGACAGGCTGGCTACCTGGTCACAAAGTTTCAAAGACCATTCCTACCAGGTCTGAAATCAGTGTTCTCTTGAGGCTGCGCACAAACACAGCCCCACAGTTGCTTAATGAGCCCTGCCTAGCCAGGGGCTCGGGACTGGTGCAAAGAGCTGTATGGCTGGGGAGAGGCACTTCTCCCTCAATGACAGCAGCTGCTCCGTGCGGAGGACAGAGCAGCAAAGTCTCTACCAGCTGGTATTGACATTTCTCCTGGAAAGGGGAATGTTTATTGGGTAACCGGTTAACTGGTTACCCGTTCACATCCCTATTTCATGTTTTGCTGAAAGCTTGAATTAGTGTGCTCTATGTGGTTTCTTGTCAAACTATTTCTGTATCTTTCAGGAACGAACAGATCGAGGTCCGTCTTGTTAAACGCCGAGATTATGATGAAGACACAGTTCAGTGGGCAGATGCTGTTATATCAGCAGGAGGTATTAACTTGTGTCCAGGGAAGGTGTCTTGGAAATAAATAAATTGTAGTAGATGTGTTTGAAGCTGTATGAAGAATTAAAATGCTTAATACTCATAAGAAAGCATACCCATTTCTACTGTAAATATATATTTGCTATAATTAATTTGGCAAAAATAAATCGAGGCATAATTAAATGACTTGGCCAACTCACCCTCTTTTCCCTCTTGCTTTAATTTTAAATTTTAAGAAACTGAGCACAAATGTTTAGTGGATTTGGGGAAGTTTGTGAGATACAGCATGAAATATACACTCAGATAAATACTTGTGTGAATAGCAAATAGTATGTTATGGTAGAAACACTGTCATACTTAGGTGTGTCTGGTAATAAAGAGGAACAGTTATTTTTCTAGCATGGCTTATGCTATTCTCCCCCACCCCTCTATAAATCTCTTGCTCACATTCACATTCATCCAGTTAGCATATCATTTAACTAAAATAGTAGTCTGAGGACTTAAGACTGATCATAAAAAAAAAAATGGGGAGATCAGTGCAAAACAAATACACTACCAGCTGTTGGGATTCTTTCCAGGCAGGTGTCTCTACATGCTTCTTGTAGGTTTCATCTTCAGTGCTATCCTTTGGCTAGTACAGGTTGGACCTCTCAGGTCTGACACCCTGTAGTCAAATCCTTAGGGTATCCCTGTTAGATGTTCAAGATACTGTGACAAGGTCCTCACCCTGGCCCCTTGCCTTGAGACCCCTTCTTGGGTCACAAACCAACTGGAGACCCTCTCTGGTGTGGTCACCCATGCCTCTTTTGTCAGTGCCAATTTCCCACCACTTATTTACACTTATTTTGTTTTCTAGCAGCTAGCTCAGCCAGCCTCTCAGCTGAGTATGACTTGGGAGCATACTCAGCCACACCCTGGCTCCTCCACTTTGACTTCCCCTCTGGCTGTCTTTTATAGCCCTCTGGCTAATGAGGCCCACAGCTGCTTCCATTAGCCCATCAGGCCTGGGATTGCACAGCTGTCTGCAATTGGCCTTTTCAGCCAGGCTGTAGAGGCAGAGCTCTGGCTTAGCCAGCAGTCTGTCACCATACGTTCCAAAAAATGTGAAGGTATAGCAAAATGATGTAAAGTGAGTAATTTTTCCCTTCAGCTGACTTCTGTTTGTGCAAATTGGTCTTTTTTTGTGCAATGTAAAAGCGGGCAATGGAAGGGCTTATAATGCCACACTTCCTACAAGCGTCACCAGGTGGTTGTATAGCAGGGACATCCTGTAGTCCCTAACCAATGAGTTTGCTGGCCCAAGGAAGGTCAATGCCAGCCCCTGTGCTTTTAGCTTCTGGGTTTCTGCTCCCGACTGCTGGTCCGGCTCCCCTCCTGGCCTGGCTTTGCTTCCAGTCTCTCTGCTGCAGGGCTTCCCAGCCGCCCAGTTCCCAGATAGCCCCCACTTCCAGTTCCCCTCGCAGGCTCTGCTCCTGGCCACTGGCTCCCTTGCTGGGCTCCATGTCCGGTTGCTGGACTCTGGGCTCCTGCCACCTGCTGGGGCACTCTGGTCCAGCAACATTGTAGTCCTGCTGCCACATTTTTTCCCCGAGTGCTCCAGTCCTGGGGCATCTATGGCCGAAGGAAGCCATGAATGTTGCCAGATCAGAGAGTCTTGAACTAGAGAGGCTCAACCTGTAAGTGTATAACGAATTCAGAGGTCTCCAAATCTCCTGTCTTGCATGTCAGGAAGGACCGTCTCTTCTTCATCCACAAAAGAAACTCATTGCTGCTGTAAGGAATCTCTGGTCTCTGCTGCTCTGCCTGTTTTCTGGTTGCTTCTTTTTCTCTTTCCTTTAGCCTCTGATTTTTGGTGATCCACTGCTTATTGCTTTCTAAAGTAGTATCAGAGAAACTGGCCTGATTCTTGTCAGTTTCAGAATTGCATGCACTACTCTGAATACCGTAAAATCGTGAGTATAATGCACACTTTTTTTCACAGTTTTTAAGGGTTAAAGCCGCAGTGCGCATTATACATAGGAGGTCATCTGTAAAGTTTTTAACTCGCCCTCCCCGCCAGGCTCCTGGATAAGGCATGGCGCGAGGTCAGCTGGGCGGGGGGCCCTCGTGGCAGGTGCGAGGTCAGCTGGGCAGGGGGCCCTTGTGGCAGGTGCGAGGTCAGCGCGGCTGGCTGGCAGCTGTGCAGCGGGCGCTCATGGCAGGTGCAGCTCCCCGGTGCTGGGTGCGCGTTTCCCGGGAGAGCCTGCAGGTGGGAGTGGCCCCTTCCTTCCGATATATACACACCGTAAAATTGCGAGTATAATGGGGGTGCGCCTTATAGATAAGAGTTCATTTTATTCTGGGATTTTGACATTTAAAAGGTAGGTGCGCATTATACTCAAGATTTTATGGTAGCAGCAGTGAACAGTGATGGAATTCTGTTTAGTTTTTATTTGGTTGGCAAAATATAATTTGTTTGCAGTGTGTATTTGTGTCTATATTAGTTCATTTTGCTCACATTTTGCAGATCCTGTTTGCAAATATGAGGGCTAAACATTTCAAATGAGAGCTTATATTTAAAGAAGTTGATAGTACTTGGGAAAGATTTCTACTTGACTTAAAGTGGTGGATTTTTAAAGCTCTGTTTTTGGGGAAACCTAAGACATTGGGAAAACATTATCTTTGAAAAATAACTGGTGGCCATAATTTTAAGAGAACTTCATATACAGTTGAAGCAGCACTAAAACCCAAATGCTATTTCTGAAGTGCTTGATTAATGTTAGGAATTATATTGCAGATGAACCTTCTTCCCCTTTTGTAATAGTCATAGTTTTGATTGAAAAATTAAGTCCTTTTTTGTTAGAAAAGGTAGCCAAAGAAGAAAAGATAAACTTAAATTTCAGTTTCAGTTTAATACACACAGTCCTCCACAGATGCTAATCTAACATTTGCCAATACAAAATGTATGGTCCAAGCATCAGATAAGTGGTGCTCCATTGTACTTTTTATACATATTGAATTTTCATTGCAATTCTGAATACATTTAATATCTTGGTAGTATCCAACATTTAATTTCAAAGTCAGACAGATGTTTTCAGTGGAGAGCACTGAAATGGAGAGTTAGCAGTTCTATTCTGCTTTTATAAAACCTATTTAACCTACTGCTTGTATAGAAATATTAAAAATATGATTGCAACGATAATGTCTGTATATGACATTTACTTAAGAATTTAAATATACCAAACTAAATTGAAAGTAATCAGCTGTTCTTTTTACTACTTTTTTTTTTGTAGGTGATGGCACAATGTTGCTGGCAGCTAGTAAAGTTTTTGACAGATTGAAACCAGTTATTGGAGTAAATACTGATCCAGAAAGGTAAGAATAACACCTTTAGGAAAACAAAGTATATACTATATAGAGTACAATTATTATTCAATGTATAATACCGTTAACATCAGATTAAACTGCTGCCATTATTAAGGTAAACAGTATTACCAAGCAAACACATTTTTACTTATCTCTGTAGCCAGTGGCTCTTTCCTTCTATTTTCATGTTAGTCTACTATTATTTGAATCCTATGCTGGCTCCAAAAATGAGCATACACTTACTTGGTAAATGGAGGTTAATTAATGTTTCAAGGTGAGAATATTTCTTGTTTCCTGAAAGTCTTTTTGCAGCTGTTGAGCTTTTCTTAGGCTAGAATTATTGGTCATCTTTTAATGTGAGTTGACAGGTGGCTCAAGCTAATAGGATGTACATGAACTAAGCCAGGGGTGGGAAACCTAATGGCTCACCTGGATACAATCCCTGAGGCTTGGGGAGGTCCTCCCTCTAGCATTGAGGAGTCTGTGCTTGCACTCCCATGGGGCTGGAACACACAGAATCTATTAGCCTCCTCCCCCTCCCCCCAAGCTTTAGTATGTGAGGGGAATGTGGAGAGTGTCTTTCTCCATCTTAGCTGGGGACCATGTCAGTGAGGGTGGGTTGGTTTGTTTTTTCTTCTCACTTGTGTGGTCCCTGACTGATTTTTTTGTGGGTTTGCGGACTCCGCCCCCAAAAAAGTTCCACAGATGCTTTTCAAGGATATACAAGTTTGTTCCCAGCCGTTGAACCAGAAACAAATGTTTGTCCATTAACAAATGTTTACATTTTCTAGATTTGCTTGCACTCAAGTTATCTGATCAAATAACTACTTTGGGGGCAATTTTGCATCAAAAATTAAATTCTATGTAAAATGTTTTAAAGTTTTGCATAGTTCATATTTTATTTGTCAAACTAGCACTATAGATCCACACCATTTTCAATTAGTTTGGTAACTTATTTCAAAATACCTGTCTGAAATCATCTCTGCAATGATACAGACAACAAAAAAGATTCAGGATTTTTTTTTACATCATTCCTTATCAGGCATATTAATACAGAACTGCATAATAATTCATTTAAACTAAAATAAAGAAATGTATTTCCCTTTCCCTTGAGAAACATTGTTAATGCTTGGGAAAGTTGGGGGTAACGGAGGAACTGAGAGAGGTGAGTAATTGCTGGGAAGGAGCCTGGGAATGAACCTGAAGGATTGTTGAGTGTTGTTGGGAGAAGTGTAAAACAGGATTATTTTGGGGGGTATGGAGGAGGGATTGTTAGGAAGCCTGGGAGCCACCCTCATTCAGTGGTTCATCCCTAGTCTCTCTCATTCAGTTGACACATCTTCCCCATCTGTCCCTGCACTCCTACTCGGCCATCACCCCATCCCCATGTGGCCCTGCATTCCCATCTACTGAGCCCCTGGCTCAATGCTGTCACTCCACTCGCTCCTGTGACCTTCTAGCAGCCCCATGTGCTCTGCTCTGTCCATCTCCCCCATATCCTTTGCCTTCTCACCTGGCCCTGTGGGCAGGATGCTATGAGCAAAGCAGTCTTTCCTCCTTCCTTTCCACAGCTGGTTGCTCTGGCTCTGAGCCAGCTGCCCTCTTCTGGCACCAGGGCAGCCTCTGGTGTAATTACAGCAGATCTTTGGCAGGGCAGAATGTCTTTTCTGCAGAAGTCTGGGGAGGGGGGGACGGACATAAAGTCTACACGTGCAGTGGCACAGAATTCCCCCAGGTGTAAATTTAACAGCAGGACCAAAATTTCTAGTCTAGACCAGGCCATATACAGTTAATGTTGAAAAACAAGATCTTTAAAAATAGAAGGAGGCAGTTGTGACTTTTTTTTTCCTTCCAAAAATGCCAAGCACCCAACAGCTCCTGTGGAAAATCAGATGGATGCTTAAACATAATTTTCCTTAGAGTGATTGTACACACATAGAATCATAGTCTTCCTAGAACTGGAAGGAATCTCAAAAAATTATCGTCTAGTCTCCTACCCTCATGGCAGGACCAAGAAGACCAAGATCAGGGGTCAGCAGCCTTTTCAAACCAAAGAGCCAAACGACATAAAAAATCAGAACAAGTGGTCAGCAAAGACCCATATAAGAATGCCCATTTGCGTGACTGAACATATGCAATGTAATAATAATAATAATTGACATAATGATTAGTAATAACATAAATGAAACATTGTATTCACTAGCGATGTGAGCGGTTGAGGGATTTTTTTTGTGCTTGCTCACCCCACAACATTGAGGTTTATCAACAAGTTAAGGAACCATTTCCCTAATATTAAAGAATCTGTTCCTGTGTGCGAGTTAAATTTGGTACTTGAGGAGCCCTATGAAAACTCCCTTTGAACCCTGCTACTGCCTTAATCTTTCCACAAAGATGTCCTTTTTGGTGACTATCGCCTCTGCCCAAAGAGTCAGAAAATAGAAATTGAGTGGTGTTCTTCCTCCTGCTCCCCACCCCACTTTTCAGTATTTTTCAAATATGAGGGATTTTACATCCATCTTAAATGCTTTCTTAAGATGTTCTCTAAATTTCATGTCAAACAAGTCATCCATGGGAGGATGCTATCCTGCACATCTTAGACATCAGAAGGTATTTGCCTTCTATCTGATAAAAGCAAACTGTTTTGAAAATCTTCCCAACCTGTTCATATCAATTATTGACGGAGCCAAAGGGACTGTGGTTCCCACTCACTCTTGACATGGATTTTTGCATGCATTATTTCTTGTTATAAATTTGCTGATATATACTTTAGGAGGAGATTGTATAGCCCAGGACACAGTTCTATGTCACCGAAGTGCCAGCCATGAGGATGTGCATGTATAGTAAGCACTTATCTAGGCTGAAAGGGCACTGCTACTGAAAATCTCCAAGTGCGCATGCACTCATGCAATTGAAATTGCAGTGAAACCCCTGTAGGGGGACACATCTCAAAGAACTTCAGTTAATACACAAGGAGAGTAACCTCTCTTTCTTTGGTCTATTTAGAAGTGTGCATATGCCAAGCAGAGAAACTGATGAGGTTCATACATGCTATAGTGTACAGACAGCACTAGATATTTGTTCTGCTCCCAGAAAGAAAGGGGATTAAAACGTTTTTTATCTACTTTCAACAGGCTTCCAAAAAGTACCTGCACAATTAGTAGTGCTATTTATCTATATTTCAGAAATGTGCATTTGTCTGTCTGAGTCTAAGAATGCCTCCTAAATGGTAAGAGCTATGACCACCAAATTTGGTATGCAGCTTTCTTGTCTCCTAACTTAAAGCAAGGCTGGGATTTGGTTGTGTCAGGAAAATTGGAAGTGCCATGAATGGGGCTGTTTTCCAGTACATGGAAAGGGAGGGGGTAGAGAGATGGAACGAGATATTCCTTCACCACTGATGGCAGTGTGTCTGCAGGGGAGAGTTATACTATAGCGTGACCACCACAGGCAGCCCTATCATTAAGGGAGTTGCTAGCAGAGGTAGAGCTCGCCCGGCGTGGGGGGCAGCCCCTGCTTGCCCTTCTGCCTCCTCCCCAGCCCCTGGAGGGGATAGGGGAAAGGGAGAAAGCCCCCTGCCCTGAAAGAGCTGGGCAAGTCTTCTAGTATGTCATCATAGTATGAGAATGCTTCACAGTTTAATCTCAACTCAGATGAGTAGAGAAATAGTCTCTTCATTTACGGAGAGATAGATCAAGTGTAATGCCTATGGTCATAGTAAGTTTGTGTAAGTAAATCAATTTCCTCCTCATTTCACATATATTTGGTAGCCTTTGTCAGTCTGCTTTTTGCACCATGTTTGTTAGTTTCCATGTCAGAAACAAAACAAATGCCTATGATATGTCAGTTCAGATTGAGGGCAGAGAAATACTGCTTAGCTGCCAGTTTTTTAAAGAAGTGTTTGAATATATACTGATGAAAAGTGATTTGACAACCATGGAGACCAAAGTCTTGTAGCTACAGAACAAGCAGTGCAAGTTTGCCCACACTTCTTCCATTGTGCCTCAGCCCTGTCCTTTGTGGATGACAGAGTAGGTTTGTGTCTTTGCTTTGTAACCGTTTGCTGCTTTGCCAGATTTGCCAGCAAGATTGCCTAGATGTGCTATTTATGATTTGAATATGAATAACTCATCTGTTGAGTAGATTCACTCTGTTTTCACATAGGCTACCAAGTAGCCATTGGATAGCATTAATTCCCACTAGCATCTTTGTCTGTATTTGAATCATGTACCAACAAGTAAAAGGCTCTATAACCTATTGCCACTGCATAATGCCTGACTTCCTAGTGAGAGAGATCACAAATCACTTTTAGAAAATGAAAATCTAACTTTGCTTTTATGTAGCTATCAGAACACTCAACTCACAGCTTTGACTGCCACTCCTATTGTTCTGTCTTCTTTTCATTTTAGATCTGAAGGACATTTGTGTTTGCCTGTGCGATATACACACTCTTTTCCAGAAGCATTACAGAAGTTTTATCGTGGTGAGTTCAGGTAGGATTCTATGCTCTTTGTTTTTACAAAATGTATTTCCTGAGGAGAACACGTGTAATGATGGGCAACATTACTAACAGAAGAAGAAAGTAAGTATGTGAAATCATGAACTGAGTTTTAAGGCTTAGCACCTTGAAGGATTACTTTATAGTTAAAGAATTGAATTGGAGTTTGGGAGACCTAGATTCAGTTTGTACTAGAAATTCAAGTGATTAAAAAAATTGCAATTAATTGTGTGATTAAAAATATAACATCGTTAATAGAATACCATTTACTAATATTTTGGATATTTTCTACATTTTTAAATATATTGATTTCAGTTACAGCACAATACAAATTCCACAGTGCTCACTTTATATTTATTAGGAATATTTACACAGTAAAGAGCAACATTGTATTTTGCAGTCCACTTCATAAGAGTATTATGCCATTTCTTTATCATGAAAGTTGATTGTACAAATACCTGCATTCAAAAACAGAGAAAGTAAAACTTTAGAGCTTATAAGTCTATTCAGTCCTATTTCATGTTCAGCCAATTATATAGACAAACGAATTTGGTTACTTTTTGCAGGAGATAATGCTTTCTGTTTCTTTTTTACAATGTCACCTGAAAGTGAGGACAGGTATTCACATGCCATGTTGTAGCTGGCATTGCAAGATACTTATATGCTAGATGTACTAAAAATGCACATGTTGCTTCATGCTTCAAACACCATTCCAGAGGACGTGTCCATACTGATGACAGGTTCTGATAATGATCCAAAGCAGTGCCGACCCACATATGTTCATTTTCATCAGCTGAATTAGATGTCACAAAAAAGAGTGATTTTTCTCTTTTGGTGATTCAGGTTCTCTAGTTTCTGCATCAGAGTGTCACTTTTTTAACAGTCTGAAAGCATGCTACACACCTTGTCCCTCTTAGATTTTAGATGGCACTTCAGATTGTTAAATCTTGATTGAGGTCTGTAGCAATCCTGAGAAATTTCAGATTGGCTCCTTCTTTGTGTTGTGTCAAATGTGCTGCGAAAGCACATCATCATCCTAGATGTCTATAACTTGAAATATATGGCAGAATGCAGGTAAAACAGAGCTAGAAAATAAAATAGTTACCATACTATAAAAGGTTACCAGATATTTTTAATGTGGGCAAAATGTATTTTCCCTCAGCCTAATGGTCAGAATCGTCTGAACAATTTTGTCTGAAAAGTTCCCCAAAAATTCTGAGGCAGGCATGTGGCATTTAACATTTTAGTCAGATGATTTGTTTGGTAAAATTCTAAAGCAGAGTCTTATAATGGGAAGTGTGGGGCAGCCTTAAAAGTAGAGTGATAACAGTGCCGCTTACAGTGGGGTTCATAGTGAGATGGGTTTGGTATAAAGTAGGGATGTTAAAAAGCAGTTAATTAGGTAACTGTCTAATCACTGAAAATCTCAGTGGGCTCTCCAGGAGCAGAGCTGGGCTCTTCAGGAGCTGTGGGCTCTCCAAAAAAAGAGCTGGCTGGCCCAACTCCCGGGGAGCTGGCTGTGCTGTGAGCTTTTCAGTATAAGTAGTGGGGGGAGGCAGCCAGCTCCTGTCTGCTGACCCTGCTCCCAAAGAGCTGGCTGCCGCCCCATTCTGCTGCCTGTGGCAGCCTGGGCTCATCAGTTAATGTTTACAGATATATGCAGGATCCAGTACCCATTGGGAGCCAGCTTAAAAACCAGCTCCTGGCATGCACTGCCTTCTGGGGAGCTGCCTGCCACCCTGTGCTGCTGCATTTCATAGAGGCAGCAGTGCAGGTTGGCAGGTGGGAGCTGGTATGCGCAGGGAGCTGGTTTAAAAGTTGGCACCTGGTGTACACTGCATCCCACAAGAACTGGCTACAGCCCTGTGCTGCTGTCTCTGTATTAAAGGCAGCAGCTCGGGGCGCGGATAGGGGGAGCTGATACATTCAGGGAGCTGTCTTAAAAACCTGCTCTTGTAGTCGGCAAGAGTAAGTCTCAGTTCTGACACTGGGCTCTCAAAGTGCAAAGGACGCTACACAGGTATCTGTCAAACACAAGTAGTTTATTTCCTGACAGCTAACAGCTGAGCCCCATAACTGGAAGATCAACATAACAAAGAAGCGGCATATCTTATGTCCCTTCCTGCAAGCCTGGGACCCTGGGTAGGCTGTGGACGAAGTCGGAGGTTGTCTCAGCTTCCGAGGCGCCGGTACCCAAAGCCCATCGGTGAGGTCCGATTTGCTAGGCTCTGAGGCAGCCTTAAATACAGTTTTCCTGTCTTGTTTGGAAATTTCCAGGGCTTACTCATTACATGCTGATGTAGGGCTTAGCTGTTAGTTATCAATCTGGTCTGATCTGGATCTTCTTGTTCTTTGGCCCTATTTACGTGATCAGTACATTAGGGTAAACAGAATTGTTTGAGTTCTTGCCCTTTACCCTTATTTTATACTTGTTCTTGCTATACTGGCAACAATGCTTATCTTAAATGGCATACGTTCCCAAAGACTTGCCTTTGGCTCATCAGATATAGGGAAAGGGGGAAAGAATGCTGGCCTCACCACCTCTAAACTAGCACGTACAAAGTTCTTCCGCAATTGACCACTACGGCTCTCCATGCACACCAGCTCCCAGGGTAACTTAATTACATGCATTTAAATCTCCCTGTTTTAAGTGGGTTCCCATTCCTGGTTCCTCGTCCCGCTCCTGACACAGCTTCTGAGGAGTAAGCTGCCACCTCAGGCTGCGGGCTCTCATACAGATCCAGCAGCGCGGTATGGCAGCTGGCTTCCTAGGAGTGGGACTGGGAGCCTGCATGTAACTGTCAGTGGTAACCTTATCAGTGAACAGTTTAAATGATTATACTATTACATCCCTAGTATAAAGGTTCCATTAGCACTCTTGCTTACGTTCTGTCTTATATTCTTCTGTCTGTGGGCTTGTAGGACTGCTCAACTTGTTTGGAATAAAATCCTTTGTTTAGTTCCTCAATCTGTAGTCTTTTTTTAGGCTACCCTTAGAGCCTTCTTAGAGAGGGATATTGTGATTTGATAAGCAAGTTGAGTTTTCCACTAGTTGCTGTATCTAATTGTTATCACCACCAAGTCCGTGGGACTGCCTTTAAACATCTATTTGTAACTGCTTCAGCTATTCAGGCTTTCTGCTCAAAATTGGAGAAGAAACTGCTGTAGTTTTTCAGGTAAAATAGGAGGCGTGAGAAGGAATTGTTTTTCTACTCTGGGGAATAGATCGTTGCCACAATTTATGGAAGGACATGTAAATACTATTCAAGTGCTGATACCCTGTGTGTATTCAACTATGGTTATGCCTCTAGACCTAGAGAATTTGTCAGTCAGCATTTAACAAAACAAAAATAGATGTAAAATACATGTTTAGTATAAATTCTATGATGAATTTGAATTATCTTTGACAGATTTGGTGCTAGAAATTGGTAAGCTTTTTAAACTGATTTACGAATTTGGCTGTCTCCTGCCTTTGTAAAGAATATTGCTGTATCTAGTTACTTAAGTTTTGAGTTCATCAGTGATGCAGTGAAAATGGAGGCCTTATGTTTTGACTCCAACACTGGTACCTATCTCTTTCTCTAAGGTGGCAGTGGCGGCAGCGAATCCGGATATATCTTGAAGGAACTGGTATTAACCCTACCCCTGTAGATTTGCATGAACAGCAGTTAAGCCAGGAGCAGTACAGCAGGGCCCATGTTAATGGAAGATTCTATGATCAAAGTAAGTTGGAGTCAGAATTATGAATGTAACCAACAAAACTTAGCAGTGCTCACTTGAATGGCCAAGTGGTTGTGTAATATTTTTGGGGGGAGTATAGTTATTGTAGGCTTGTAAAATTGTTATAAATGTATTCGCACAAGCTCAGGGAAGGGGGATGGGGATTGGTCCTTAGGATTGGGACCCAAACTTGAAGCAGGGGCTCTGTCTTGAGTGTTGAAATATATCTTCCTGAGACTATATACATATTAGCTTCTAGAATTAGCTAATAGTTGACTCTCTATTTAAAAAATGTCATCTGCCATAGCCTGAAGCAAGACACAAGCTTCTTGAATGGTGTTCCTTGTATTTTGCTATTGGCTCTTTAAGGTGAAATTATTCCTTAAAGAAAATGCTACTTTTTTTTGACAATTAAAACTCAAATGGAAAAAAGAGCCTGTTGTACAGTTCTCGGTATTTGCCTTGTCTGTGGAAAGGTGGTAATATGAATGTTTTATGACAGACTTGAAAACCTTCATCCTAAATAGTTAGTATTAACTGTAAGAATGCTAGGGAGATTGGGGGAAAGATTGGCTGTCCAACCCTGGAAAATTAGCATCAACAGGCCATAAGATGTACTATACAGTTTCCCAAACTTTCAAAGATGACTCCCCTCTTGACAAAGCAGTGTTTTTCTGCTATGTTGCAGTGTGAATCCCGCTTTAGCTGAATGAGATTGGAGTCTTGAATGGAAGTGTCTGGGGCTACATGTGCACGCTGTGCTTGTGCTCCTGTTCAAGGGCACACAGGGAGGTGGGGTATCTTACGAACCTCCCTCTGTTGCTTCTTACCACCCATGGCAGCAATCCAGAATCTGGTGAATGTACAACCTGGTAGTTTTTAACTTTGCCTGAATTGTCTAAAACTCAAATTTTATCTAATATTCTGAACTCTTGTGGTTTATTGGCATACCACTGCCATGAATTATATTGATCTATGTGGACTGAATGTTCACCATCAGAGCCCTCTGTACAGAGGGATTCACAGGGATGCAAACTTGAAGGAAAAAGAATGCTTCCTAATCTACAGTACGATTACTTACCCTACTTATTTACCGTTATTGGGCTCTTTGAGATGTGGGATCCACACTGATTACAACTTGCCCTCCATCCCCGTATTTTGGAGTCCTTAGCAACATGGTCATAGAATTGATGGGGAGCTCAGAGAAAATTGCAGCACTCCACCCTCCCTACCCCCCCACCCACTGCCTTTTATGTTTTCGTGGGGAGACACAGGGTAGGTGTGGCATCAATGGACACTGATACTCAAAAATTCAGATCTCACATGAGTTTTATTCAAATGTACCAATAATGGGTTTTCCACATACTACATTCTCTTGAAGAATCACAATTACAGTAAGGTAAATTTTTTGCAAACCATTCTTCAAGCTATAACCCTAACCTTTTGCAGGCCAAGTGTCACCATCATAATACCAGAAATAATTATGATTTTTTTGGGGGTAACCTGTCACTATATAAAGCAGGGGTTGGCAACCTTTTCAAACCAAAGAGCCAATTTACATCAAAATTCAGAATAAGTGGTCAACAAAGAGCTGTATAAGAATGCCCATTTGCATGACTGAAAATATACAACTTAATATTATTGATAATTGACATGATTAATAATAACACAAATAAAACATTGTGCTTACAGACTTTATTTAATGGGACTTCTGCTGCTACTGCATCTTTTTCACACATTTATTTGAAGTTTACATCACAGCTGGTCAAATCCAGCTTCATGCATGCATTCAGGCTATCTTCTGTCAATTTTATGACAGAGGGCTGGGGATGCGGGAGTGTAGAAGTCAGGGTTGGTGTGTATGAGGGGTCAGGGTAGGGGACTTGGGTGTATGATGGTCTCAGGGCACAAGGTTGGGGGATGTGAGAGTGCACGAGTGTTATGGCAGGAGATTGGGAATGTGGGGGTGCAGGAGTCAGGATGTTGGGGGTATGAGGAGCTCAGGGAAGGGGTTCAGGTGTGTGATGGGCTCAGGGTTGGTATGTGTGGCGGGTTGCTGGAGTTTTATGACACGGGGGCCAAATGGGGGCTGGTCCCCAATTGGGGGCTTGTTGGCCAGGCTTCATTTTTAAATGAAGTAAAATATTATGTGCAACACAAAAGGGTTCAACATTGTATTTATGGCAGGAGTGGGGAATCTTTTTTGGACCGAGGCCACTGACCCACTGAAAAATCGGGGACCACAAGTGAGAAGCCAGAAAACAAACAAACTACAAAACCCCCCAAACCTCACTAATCTGACCTCCATCTGAAACATGTCACTCCGCTGGTGGGGGGAAGGGTAGAGAGGACTGAGGGTCAGGGCTCCAGGGTTAGTGAATTTTGAGGGGCCCCTCAAGGTTCTGAGGTTGGGCCAAAAGTGAGGAGTTAAGTGTGGGGGACAAAGCTGCGGGTGCAGAATCTGGTCAGAAGGTGAGGGTGTAAGGTCTGGGTGGGAGGGAGGTTGCAGGAGCAGGCTGGGGCAGGCTGTCTAGCCAGGGGGCAGGAGCGGGATGGGGCAGGCTGTCTGGTGGGGAGGGCAGGGAGTGTGGCCAGGGGAACCGAGTGAGGGGCGGTGTAGGGTCTGAGCATGAGGGTTGGAGGGGCACTTACTTGCTTTCATGCCATGTGTAACACAGCCTCCTGTTTGCCAAGAAGGATTTGCAGGGGAAGCCTGCAGGAAGTGTTTCCCAGGGAAAGGAAAGGGCAGTGCACGGAGCCATTTTTGGTTCCTGGTTCCCCACAGGCCGGGGGAACAAAAGAGCGGCGCACGGAGCCAAAAATGATGGACTTTTTTCCCATATGCCAAATCCGGCACAAAGAATCAGGGCTTTCTCCCCCAGCCACCTGTGCCTGCCCCGTGCAGGAAGCCAGCACTGGTGTGTTCTAAGCTTGCGGGGGAAAGGGGGAGGAGGAATAGACTATAGCACTAGCACTGGCTCCATGCTGCAGGGAGAACTGCAGGGGCTGAGTTGGGGGCTCCACAAGAGCCATATTTGGCTCATGAGCCATGGGTGGTAGACCCAGGATATAGAGAGAGGAATTCAGCTTGTCTGGTTCTCCACTTGTTTTTTGGCAAGACACTGCCTGAATTGTTACTATAGTCATTCTCAGCTTTCCTGGAAAGTGTTTCTTTGAGTAGATACCAAGCCTGAAAAGTCTCAGCTAGAAAAAATGAACTCTTCAGAAAACTGAAAATTGATATTAATCCAAATTTATGTAATCTCAATTATAATCAGTGACTGCTATTTGTAATGGATTAAGAAAATTTTGAGAATTCAGTTTTTAGAAATGTAATTTAAAACTCACCACAATAATTTGTTTAGTAACTGTCATTTGCTCCAATACCTGCAGGATCTGACATTTCTGGACCACACCTTTTGCCAGTGAGAGCACTAAATGAAGTCTTCATTGGAGAGTCTCTCTCATCCAGGTACCCTTAACTTCTGCATTGTTAAACATTGAAGAGTGACAGTCTAAATTTGTTTTTGTTTTAAATATCAGTTTATGAAAATTCAGCTGGTAATCATTGTGTTTGCTGTCATCTTTCTTTTCAGCCCATGAATATCAGACTTTACTGGGTAACAAAAATAGATACAAAGATGTGATATAGCCATTGAGTGACATAACCTCTATTCCTAATGATCATTGTATCTCTCTAGCCATTCTTTCAGATCTATTCTTGTGCCTGTGGCATCACACAAGGCTTTGTCCTGGGTTCCTTTATTGCTTTACTCCGGGGAGGGAAACCTGTCTTGGGTCGGGGGCCGCTGACCCACAGAAAAATCAGTCAGGGGGGTGGCACATGAGAGAACCAAAAAACAAACAAACCCCAAAACAACACAAAACAAAAAAACCCAAAATCCTTACTGACGTGGCCCTGGACTGAGAAGGAGAAAGACTCTCCCTACGTTCCTCTTGCACACCAGAGCCTAATGGAACCCAAGACTGTTGTATGCTCCAGCCCTGCAGGGAAGTGGCAGAGGGATGGAATGCCAGCACTGGCTCCCCAATGCTGGGAGGGGAGTTCTGAGCCTTGGGGGCCAGATCCAGGCAAATGGGGGCCGTATCCAGCCCCCAGGCCTTAGGTTCCCCACCCTTGCTTTACACCCTTCGTTTTGGTGGCTTCATGTTCTCGCTGGCTTCAATCGCCATCTTTATGATGACTTGGAGATTTACCTGTCTATCCTTAACTTACTAAGGCTGTGTCTAGACTGCAGGGTTTTTTCAAAAAAAGTAGCCTTTTTTCGAAAAAACTTCACTTTCATCTAGACTACAGCCGCGTTCTTTCAAAATTAAATCGAAAGAACAAGGCTTTTCTTTTGACAGCGGTACTACTCATTTCACGAGGAAGAACGCCTTTTTTCGAAAGTGCTCTTTCGAAAAAAGGCATTCTTGAATGCAAACAAGGCTTTTTTGAAAGAGAGCATCCAGACTGCCTGGGTGCCCTCTTTCGAAAAAGCGGTTCACTTTTTTGAAAGAGGCTTGCAGTCTAGACGTAGCCTAAGAATGGAGACTGAGTAGAGATCTGTCCAGCCTCTCCTCCTAGAGGTCTTGCCATAAATTTAACCTTAACATGGTCAAAACCAAACTTCTGATCTTTCTTTCCACAATCTCAATCACTAGCAACACTATAATTCTTGTCATTCAAGCATTTGTGTCCTGGGAGAGTGGCTTTGTAGAGAAATTCAGACCATAAGTATCCAAAGCTTAGTGCTGCTTTCTCCAAGATACTGGACTACTTTTGTATCTAAGTTTAAAATTCTTGTTTCAGCCCTTTGTATCCCATTTCTGTTCTTCTTTGAGTGCTTGCATGTGTCCAGTCTACTGTAGGTGTGTGTGCTTGCCTTACGCACCATTATCAGAGAACTTTTTTCCTTGCTGAGGCAACTCAAGTGCCCGCCACTGCCTTGACAGCCTTCATTTCCATCTTATCACCAAGTACAGTTACCAAAGCAATCTTCGAATAGTTAAAAATGATTTCCTCACTCCTTTGTACGGATACACCCTCTTGTAAGGACACGGGTGGGCAAAAGTGTCTCTGCGGGCTGGATCTGGCCCACCAAGCAGGTGGATCTGGCCCATGGAGGTCCTGTTGCTCCTCCACCCCCAGGCCAATTAGGATCTGGGTGCAAGGGAATGCGCAAAGCCGCCTCCTGCCCTGCCAGGAGCACTTGGTGCTTTGAAGCGCTGCATGTTGCTTTCAGGGCAAGGGCAGAGCAGAAGAGGCTTTGCGCACGCTCCCACCCTCCGGCCAACTAGGAGTGCGCGAAGTCTCCTCCCACACCAGGGGCATGGGCACCTAGGGAGAACACCGGGGGGGAGGGGAGGGGAAGGGTAAACAAAGGCGCACACTCACCCCCAGACAGATTGGTCTGGGGGAGGGGAACCAGGAAGTATCTTGGCCCTGCCCCTTCCGCTTGATGCCCCACCCCTTCTGATGTGGCCTGGAGCCACTTAAAAAATTTCTGAAGTGGCCCCTGTGCTAGGAGTTAAGTTAGTTTTAGCTGCTTTTACTTTTGAACTATGTTTAATTTTTCAGTGCCAGAACGATGCTGCGTTGGCCAGGAATTGTCCTGTGCACTTTACGCTAAACCCCTGTCAGCCAGACTCTAGTTGCCACCTCTGCCAGGGCTGCTCCTGGGCGCCAGTTAACTGTTCCCCAATAAGCTTCTCCCAATGATGCTTATCGGGTAACCGGTTAACTGGTTACCCATTCGCATCCCTACTCCTCAGTCCCACTTATTGATGCAAGAAAATAGTTAGACCCACGGCTCAACAAACTATGTAATCTACTCACCTGTGGCGAGTAGATTATAACCCGGAAGAGCTGGGTTCGGGCAGCGCGGCTGGTGAGCGGGGCTCGCCGTGGTTCGGCGAGCCCTGGTTAGACCTTCTTCAAGGAGTGTCCTTTTGGATGCTCTATTGTATGTGTTTCAGTGCCCGTTGCGTATAGTCTGAGATTTACAGCAGCAGTACCCTATGTGCGTACTGTGCCATCTTGCAGCATTGCAAGCGTTCAACCAGCGCGTATTGTCAACCGTACCTCAGTTCCTTCTCTACTGCTCTAGGCTTAGGTCAGAACACAGCAGCTAGCCTTGCTTCATACCTTTACCAGTAAGATACCCCTCTTTTAGCCTTTTTTACTTTGGGTTCCCTACTGTTCCCCTGCTACCCATCTTTTAAAAACATATTTTCTTCTTCTCTTCCCTCCTCTCCCATACCCTTCTCTAACGGGATCTTCATCATGTCAGGTTCCCCCAGTTTCAAAAGATGCCTTATTTGATGGTTTTCCATTTCAGTCTTGGATGGCCATGCTCAGTGCATCCGATGCCTTGGGGAGGCACATATCCCTCAAAAATGCCTCCATTGCAAGAAACTAGAAGCGAGGTCATTCAAGGCACGGGACCTCCAACTAAAACTTCTCCTCATGAAGAAATCCCTCAGACTGGTTTCAGAACTGGAGTCTCATACTCCACCTCCACAACGGTCCCTGGCAGTGGCCTAAGATCAGGGTCCTCTTCTTCCACCTCCTCAGGACTCTCCAGCTAAGAAACTTGCCAATGGCAGCCCTCGCCACGGAGTGATCTGCCTTGGAAAAAAAAAAACCCCAGCCTCTCAGACCAAAGTCCACCTTGATACTGATCTCACCATTCTCATTGGACCGACAGGCATTGGGCATGTCCAGTGTGGACAAGTCCCAAGGGGCTACAGCATCTAAGCAGCTACACCCTCCATTCTGCTCAAAATCTAAGAGCAAAATGCCCACCCTGGCACCAAGGGCAACACAAGGTACAACAACGCTGGTGCCAAAAGAGCCTCTTACCCAACCACCTATGCTGGTGATACCAGTGATACCAATGGTGAGTGACTCCATAACAAATGAGGCACCAATCTTCATGGTTCTGCACCCACTCACTTCCCATATGGACGAAGCTATGACCTTGGTACCGGGCACTCTGCTTCTCGGTGCTGACGGGCAGTGTTCTCGCTAACATTTTCCATCTTTGGGCAGGCTAAATTTTCTTCTGGGCAGGTTAAATTTCTTATGTGCAACACCAATATTGAAGTTGTGTGGGGATGTGCACTACCAGTACAAACAAACCAAGCTAGATAAAATATATATTGTAAACAGTTTATAGATACGGAAGAAGAAATATTAAAACAAAGGATAATTAAAAAGGAGCAATGCTTAAGATGTTTATTTAAAGCTCAAATAAAAAGAAAATTAACACTTCCCTAGGAATACATATTTTATCATCCTTTCTAACAACTCAAGCTAGTAAACACACTTAAATGAGATATTCTGAAAACAGCTATATAAATAAATCAGACATGGACACTAAATAAAAGCATAAAACATGTACCAGATATCTACAACACTCAGAAAAAAAATCTGTTAAAAGAATCCTTTTCTTTCCTACCTTAAGCTATTAATACCTATGTAAACTTTGTTTGAAATATAATCATGCAGTTGTCATGAGCTAGGCATTTTGCTCTCATTCACCAAAGCCTGAATCCTTATCCACAAAAGCAGCCTAAATGCTTTATATAGAAAAACACCAAAATAAATGAAGTCATTTTCTTCATTAAAATCTGCTAATGCAGACTCTCTTAGCCCTCCTTACTTCTCTGCTCTGGATCTGTTTCCCTCCAAACAAATTACATTTTAGCCCAAGCTTTCTAACATCTCTGGTGTGATGGCCACCTATTAACAAATTCATCATGGCCAAAATCAATATCTTTCCCTCTTGATACTAAATTAAAAATATTTTGGTCTAGAACTGCAGAAAATTCACCATTTTGTGTTTGCTCTTTAAGTCTAACAGTGAAAAATACAGGGTGCTACTTTTATTCCTTCACACCCCTCATCATATTTTTCCTGGCATATTTCAGATCTTGTAATTGTCACCATCAGTTGGTAATTAATACCAACTCCACCTCATTACAGCCTCAAGAAGAAAAGGGAAGACGTACTTGGACTAAGCGCCCTCTGTTGCATTAATGAGACAAGGGAGTTTCCCCAGCAGCACCCCATCTCCCATGTACCCTCATGCCCCAGCATGCCAGCATAACTCACCTGAAATTATGGCACCTTCCCCCATGCAGTCTGCTTTCCTCTCCCTCCCACCCAAGAGAGAGTCCCACATCTCTCCCCTGCACTAGAAGCTGTTGTGCTGAGACAAGGTCTGACTCTTATTGCAGCCCAGATGAGAATCAGGATGCCCCAAACAAACTTCCCACCCCCGTTTCCTGCTTTGCACAGGGGACCTGGACTCGATGACCTCCTGAGGTCTCTTCCAGCTGTAGGGTTCTGTGATCTCACCACACAGATGCTGGCACCTACCTACCCTCTCTTTTCCTCCATCTACTTCCATGCAATCTGCTCCCCTTGTCCCCAGCCCAGCTGGGAGAGATTTCTGCATCCGAGTTGTAGGCATCTGCAACTGCAGCCCAGCTGGGAGTCAGAGGACACACCACAAGCTCCTTCTCCCGCCACACACACACCTCACCAATGCCAGCACTCACCCATACCCTTCATTTCCTCCACCTACCTCATGCGATCTAAGTCTTTGGAGAGAGTTTTGGGTTTTTCACAAGTTGCTGTAATCCAAGTAGTTTCCTCTACTCTCCTGGCTGCTGCAGCCCAGCTGGGAGACTGGAGATCCCAAAAGCCTCCTCCCTACCTCTTACCTCCCCTTGGTTCCTTGGTCATGGTAGCTGCTAATGAATGGGAGATACAGGGTCACCAAGAATTGATCCTGAAAGGCAAAGTAGCGAATAGCCTGGACTTTATTGGACTTACAGGTAGTCTACAACTTATGATTGCAAACTAGCAGGCACACTTGGGCTGCCATGCCTTCACCATCTGGGAGATTATATAATTTACAGACAAACTGCCAAAAGATGTAAGTAGGAGTTTGAGGTAAAGGTCCATGAGGGCAATCTGATTTCCAGAACTGCTCTGCAAGATAGTTCAGATGGTGCAGATGTGACAGCTTGAATCATGGCATCAGCTATCATCATGAGAAGATGTTAATGGTTACAATCATCTTGTCTCCGTGCAGAAGCCCAGCAGAACATTTAGGACCTTATTTTTGAAAGTGTCTCTGTTTTCGATAAGGCTTAATAGCTTAAAAGGTTCTGAGGCAACATTAACACCTCTTGGAATTAATAATATTATGGCAGAGAGGAAACCGTTCTGTTCTCAGAAGCCATATAGATATCATGATCTTCCCCAGTCTCAGTTGAGGAGAAAGGGCAGGAGTTAGAGGAGGTGTCTTTTACTGCCCTCTACTGCAGCAGGTTCATTCTCTCCATTCACCTCATTCAAACAAACATTTTAATGCTTTGGTTGAGTGTAGTTACTGTACTTCCATCCATTTCCCTCCTTTGTTTTCCCACTGCTTATTCCACTTTCCAAGTGGGGACCATATAACATCAGACCAGTGGATGTTATGCATGATAGAATTGAGGCATTCTCGCCAGTTCCTTTCTGCTTCTTCCCACAACCATCCTTCAAGAACCACTCCCATGAGATCATCCTTCAGTAGAATGTCTTGTAGCTTCTTCAAGCTGGGGTCATAGAGGAAATTCTGCTGTCAGGAAATACTTTATTTCCAATACTTTCTGATTCAAAATGAAAGAGGCTCTATTTTGTATCTAATAATTAAATCCATTTCTGGAGAAGATTTAAATTCCACGTGGTTAAACTGGTGGTTATTCCCCCTGGAGATCTGGTGTGTTGCCATCAACTTAAAGGATGCTTCTTTCCATGTTGTGATGTAATACAACCATCATGAGTTACCCATTAAGGGTAACCTTTGAACTCCTGCAAGTTGCTCTTCGCATGACTTCTGTATGAAAGTAGCATTCTTAATGGCTACCATCTCAGCTAGAAGGATGGGCAAACAGTCACCCAACATTTCTCTCCAAGGTTGTAGCTAATTTCCATGTTATCCAAGCAGTCTTCCCTGGAAAGTCATATTGCACGGTGTTCCATAACACCATGAGCTTGTAGATTTCCCATTGCTGATTGCAACAACCCTTGTTTTGAAGTTAGCATGCTTCACGTTTACAGTTCTCAGGGTTCAATTCCAGTTAATGGGCAATTCAGTCACAGACATAAATTGTACATTTAGTTATATCCATCCAGACAGTCCCTTAGTTTTCATGTGGTTCTAGACCATTGAGTAAATTCTCATCTAAACACTCATTCTCATCCTTTGATTTAAGGACAAATTAAGTGCAGGTTGTATGTGTGTGATTCACATTGTAATATACCAGTCCAAAGGTTACAGATAAATGAAGACAATACTATTACATTTCCTTTGAACTATGCTACAACATATTATGATGGCTTTTGACACTTTTGATTTCTATGAGTCTGTGAGTGAATTAGCCTGCTGCCTTGGTGTGAGCTGGAGATTTACTAGACAGCATTACAGCATGTTCTTCTTGAACACAGGCAACAATGGCAGCATTTTTGACTCGTAGGCCAATTTTAGGCATTTGTAAAGCTGCAACTGGTCATCAGTCCAAATTTTTTCTTCTTCTTATGCCATTTTCGGATGAGTTGTCCTTCAGTTACTGTTCAGATAGACTCTGAGCTCACTTCCATGTATGTTTGCTCATGTGTGACTTACAGTGGAATGGACACAAACAAGTACTCACAGAAAAAATGGTTACCTACCTTCTGTAACTGTTCTTCTTGGAGCATTGCACCTGTCTATTCCACAGCCTGTCCTCCTTCCCCTCTCTATCAGAGTCTCTCCAGTATAAAGGAACTGAGGGAGCTTGGGGGAAATCTCCACTTCCTTACTGCAGTACACAGAGAGGGGAGCTTGAGCTGCCTCTCAGGTACCACTGAGGGGAAAAGAGTTCTCCAAGAAGTGTGCATGAAACGAGCACACATACCTACAGTGGAACAGGCGTGCAATACATCAACAACAGTTACAGAAGTGTAGGTAACCTCTATTATTACCTTTTCCTCTAGTTTTCCAGATACCTAGGTTTAACTCTAAATGGGATTTTACATCCCAAGTCCGAAAAATCAGTTAACCACTGAAATAGAGGTGCACAGGTGCTCCAGCCTTTTACTTGAGAAAATAGTATTTTTGCTCTTTGAATCTACATAATATAGAAAACACTATTTGATTACATTGCATTCCATAAGCACAGTTGCAGATGTTCCTTTTAGGAACATGTCCTGGATCAGAGATTCTTATAGCAAAAATAGTACAACTAGGATTGACTGTTTCTTGTACATTGTATTGTAACCCTGTTAGGGTAATACTGGTATTTGTGCAATGCTTTGAAGATAATTTAGAGATGACATGTAGATGCCACAGGTCTGGTTGCTTTATGAAAACATAGAAAGACAAAAATACAAGCACTTATTTAAGCTTTTGTCCCAGCAACAGTGGAAAGAATCTACTAGGAAAGGCTTTAAAGTTCCCTATAAGAATTTACTCACAGGTCAGTAAAGAAAATGAGTCATGATATTGGAATAACTACTGGCTGTTCTATAAATGCTCACCATTGTGTTTGACATGTCATCTACTTTGTGCGCTCCATTTGTTAATAACTTGATTTTAGTTTCCTCCGTCTTTCCATGTTGAAAAAACTTAAAAAATAACAAATAGTCTGGAAGCACCGGAAAGACTAACACAACATGTAGATAGTATCATGAGCAGGGCTCATGTAGATAGTATCATGAGCATGCACAGATCGCCCAAACCCAGCTCTTCTGGGTTGCAGTCTACTTGCCACGGGCGAGTAGACTGCATTATTTGTCGAGCCCTGATCATGAGCTTTCATGGCAAAACCCTCTTCTTCAGATGAATGGAGTTATTAAAGGTTCAATTTCAAAATAAATAGGGGATGGGGGTTGAATTCCATGTTGAGTTATTTTAAAATGTGCACTACCCAAGCTCTGCATTCATGTTAAAAAAAAAAAAAAGTTAATTAAGATCCTTTTTTAAGGTGTTTTATTCCCAGTCTATCCAGATAAGAGCTTTCATCGCCCATGTAGTTACTTTATAAGAAGATCTTTTGAAATGTGACTCAAATTACTAATGAATGTGTGCTGCTGATATACATCTTGTTATCGGGAGGCTACATTGCATGATCTAGATTGGATTTACAAACAGAACTAACTTTCATATTTCAGCAGCCCTAGCACAGGGAAGTTTTGAGGCAAAATAGTTGAGAAAAATGCCACACAGTGTAGCCTACACAGAAGTGTAATGCCATTGTTGTATGAAAAACCGATGGCTTTCCAAGATGCTCATGTAACAAGACTGCTAGTTTACTACATTTTTGTTTTTAAGGAATTGATATAGAGCACAAACAAGACTTCATGATTTTAATTAAGTCAAAGTTATTTTAAGAATCTATTTGGATTTATTACTTGCTATTGAAGTAATCACAATTTTGGTTTGAAGCTGTGCTCTTTCTTACTGGCATTACAATATTTCCTCTTCATAGAATTTCCTACCAGTTTGTTTTCTGGTATAATCTGGTAACATGAGACCAAATTATAGCACTAGCATGGCTTATGCAGTAGTTCAACAACTGTGAAGATAGTTACAACTGTACAAATGGAGATAGCTGTTGCATTTCTGAAAGTGCAGAAATTGCAACTGTATGCAAAGTTGTGGCCAGTATATAAACTATAAAGAGTTTCTAATCTGCATGGAATGCAGTAGGAATAGTATCAACAGTTGAGAAATCTGCTTAGAAAAGCTCACGTTAAAATACAGAAAACACTATTTTTTTCAAAATATGCTATAAGCTATTTTGTAATAACTAGAAAGTATTTTATAGGAACCCCGCCCCCCCCAAAAAAAGTTCAAACTAACACTTTAGTGTTGATTGGACAACTTTGAAAGGTACCAACACAGCTTACCTTTGTGATTCTTGCAGATGACACAATGCAAATTAATGTTTTTGCTAGCAAAGTAGTTCACTAAAAACTGTCACAAAGCAATATTTAGCTCTATATCAACAATCATCTGTACAAAAATCTGTTGTGAAATTGTCAGCATATTTGAAAGTGGTCATTCTAGATTTCTACATGCCTGATATAAGGCTATGTGTTCTGTCTTATTCAGGGTGAACTATAAATCCTGCAAACCCAGTTTTAAATTCTCGCTTCATAGGGCCTCCTACTATGAGGTATCAGTTGATGATGGTCCATGGGAAAAGCAGAAGAGTTCAGGGCTCAATGTATGCACTGGAACAGGGTCAAAAGCCTGGTAAGTTAGTGTTACTACTTTTCTCCGATATGTTCATTGTCTTTAACTTTTAGTACATCAGGTCAATTTTTTTGGGCAATATGGGTTGCCATAAACCAAGTTTCTATCTGATAAGTAACACATGCATCATTTAAAAGAGAAATCATTATGATCAATGTATGCTCAGTTTTTCTGCCTATCATGTGTCATAGATGGTTCTTGCTAGGAGTGGCAGATGATTACATGATGGAAAGGGAAGGCCTTGGAGGATCAGGAGAGTGATTGGGGGACATAGGATTTGGCAAATGTGAGGAAGAATCCATCTGTAGATGATGTGGCCTATGGAGGGCAAGGAGGAAGGAACCAGCCTGGCTGACTTGGAGAGTTCATCAATTTCATATCACTGAACTATCTACTCTTGTTGAGCAGCCATCTCTTAAAACTGCCTGAAACGGCAATCTAGAAAAAAAACTGACACTTGTTTTGGAAAGCATGGAGATGCATATTTGGAAATCACCCAAACAGCCTTCTCTGCCTCCTTTTTTCCACCTTTCCTTTCCAAGCTTACAGATCTGGCACGCAGATGCAGTGGGGAACCTCAGGGAAGACTCCCTGCCTGTCCCCCACATGGTGCTGAGAATGCAGCCATTACAGGGCTCTGTTTGAACAGCTCTGAGTCTGGGAGAGGGAGGAAAGGGATTTGCACGCTGCTCACACCTCCAGCACAATCTCCCTGCCAAAGCCAGCCTCTGGCACTTCAACTCTTTGCCCCCCTATCTACTACCTCAAACCCTGTGCCCTATCTCCTGCACCCATATCCCCTTCCAGATCCTGCACTCCAAACCCCTCCCCAGAGCACAACCCTAGTCCCCCTAATCCAGGTCACAACTACCTTCTTCACCCAAACTTCTCTCCCCCCTCCCCCAACCACACACCCTCTCCTGCATCCCAGTCCTTTATTGCAAGCTCCCGTCTTCACCCAGCCTCCATCTCAGGCCCTGCGACTCCTCCATTAATATTCTTGGAGTGGCCTCTGTAAAAAATTATTGCCCTCTCCTGTCCTAGGGTCTCTTAAGAACTGTGTCTGGCAATTCTGCATGAGAGCAGTAGTAAACAAAATGTCTGGTTAGCCACACACAAATCCCCAATGGGCCGCAGGTTGCCCACCAATGCTTTAAGACAATCCTGGAGAGTTGGCAATCCTAGGTCCAGCACGTAGGTGGAAGAATGAGGGTAAGAGGGCTATGCACATACACTATTCAATTTTCCAGTTTGGAGTTGATTATCCTTTTAGATATAAAGAAAACAATTGTCATTTTGGTGTAATTAAGGATGGCAACAAAGGCAGAGTTAAGATCATTTGTGTAAATGTATCTGTGTGTTTCCAATCCTTTCATTATTTAATTAGACTTCAATTTTGGATTACTGTGCTTTCCAAAATGTAGATCATTTTTAATCCAACAGTTGTGTTAAGGCATTTTCTGAAATGGTTATCTTTGCTCAAATTTGATTATAAACATTTTTTTCTCCTGATTAATTTTGAAATTTTTATGGAAGAGATTGTCTCACTTTACTTACCAAACACTCTCTTCTTTGTTTAGGTCTTATAATATTAACAAGGTGGCAACCCAGGCTGTTGAAGAGATCCTTAAGATTGGTGAGTTGACAGCACAGAAAGCATTACATGTTAATTATATCTGAAGAAGATCCAGTCTAATTGGGTCCCTTTCTTCCTTTGGTTCAACAGCTAAAAAGCACGAGAGCTTGAATCTTCCTTTGAGCAGGGAACTAGTACAGAAAGGTTAGTGAAAATCACAACTTTTAAAATAAATAAAAGTTTTAAAGTTATAGTTTTATAACATATTTTTAATAAGTCATATTGGTTGTATCCTGTTACTTAACAATTACAGCACTTAAAAGTGTTTTATTACACTAAACAGCAGTTTTTCCTTAAGAGGAAGCACATTTAATTAAATATTATATACCATATGATTTCTAGAATCATCATACATGCAATTCTAGAATCTTTATACTTTAATTTGTAACAGGCATAAAAATTTTGATAGAGAATTTCAGATCTTTACAATTGAGAACTAATATTTTGAATTGACCATTATGAATTGAGTGACCCTGTTAGTGGTTACTCATGCAATGGAACTGTAAAGATAAATCCTTGGTATTCTAACTGAGCACTTTCAAAAAAACATAAATGCTATCTAAATACCAGTTTGATAGTGGAACTATTTCTCTGCCTGAAATGTGCAACCTTGAACATTGATGATTCAATTTCTGTGCTTACAGTAACAAATGAATATAATGACTCCCTGCTGTATAGTCCAGAAGAACCAAAGATGTTTTTCAGTATTCGAGAGCCTATTGTAAACCGGGTTTTCTCAAGTAGTCTGCAGCGTGGGTTCTTTTCAAAGTAAGTATTGCCTATAAAAGAAATTGAATACTTAATGTTTAACTAATATGTAAAACAAAATAGGTAGTCTGAGAGCTTGACTTAAATGTGCTTGATGCTCAGGTTTCTTTGTCCTTATTGAGTCAGAAGCAAGTGTCTTCTTCTCTATTTATCAAACTGAATAAAATCAAGGAGTTTCCTTCTTTGTTGAGGTCTGCATGTGATCAAGGCCCCCCAAAATAGTTGCATGAGAAAATGATTAAAGCAGGAAGCTTTTGATGTAAGATGACTTCTCAACAATTACTAGTCACCACCATTTGCATATTCCGAATTTTAGACCTTCTGTTTGAGTATAAATTTACACTTATTTTGTTTGGTACAAAAATTAAAGATGGGATAGTGCAGAGATAAAATCTGGATAATCTTCAGAGGGTAGCCGTGTTATTCTGGATCTGCAAAAGCAACAAGGAGTCCTGTGTCACCTTATAGACTACCAGATGTTTTGGACCATAAGCTTTCATGGGCAAAGACCTACTTCGTCAGATGCACAAAGTGGGTCTTTGCCCACGAAAGCTTATGCTCCAATACATCTGTTAGTCTATAAGGTGCCACAGGACTCCTTGTCGCTTTTGTTAAATCTTGAAATTCCAAGTAAGATTGCTTTGTTTCTATGAAATTATCTTTCCAAAAATCACACAAGTCATCCTCAATAAAGGTGGCAAGTCACTGTTTTTCTCCTAGCAGTGAGATTCTGCTGCCATGTTCTCCCCTTTCTGCTCTGCAAACCAATGCTCCTTTGCAAAGGAATTGTTGATCTGTGGGCTGGCTAGAAACCTCTTTTCTTAGGAAGTCTGAGAGAACCCTTGCCTAAGGGGAGGTTTGTATTTAGTGAGACTTTTCTTGCAGAAAACGCATGGGTGGTAGTATGAGCATAAGAATCTATACAATGTTCCTATCTCTGTGAAAAAACCTGAAGCTTTCAATATAAGTCCTCCCTCCTAAAGCTGTCCAGACAAAGGCAGTGTCTACACTACACTCCTTATAGTGGCACAGTTGCGCTGCTAAAGCCTGGCTGCAATAAAGCATGCAGCATAGCTGGTATTTGTCTGCAGGAGAGAGCTCTCTTTGCTGGCTTTTTTCATTGGTAAAACTTTTGTCGGTCAGGATGAGCTACACTGCATGCTTCATAGTGGCAAGGCTTGTCTTTGTAAGCTGTGCAGAGTAAACATAGCCTACTACATGAAACTTACTCAGGCAGCAGCAGTCTACCCAGGCCAGAGATCAGTAACATTGTTTTCTTCCATATATTGATCTGAGGAAGTGGGTCTGGCCCACAGATTATCACCTAATAAACCATCTTGTTAGTCTTTAAAGTGCTACATAGTGTCTTTAGTTTCAGCTAGACCAGACTAACAGGGCTGCATCTCTATCATTGTTTCTGAGGTTAGGCTTTGCAGAGTTGAAGTAGTTCCCATTTTCATACTGCAAAAGACTTTCGGGGACCTATTTCTTTCATCAGAGATAGGAGGCAGGACATTCGACTCTTACCTCAAAAGAGAACAATCATGTAATAAAAGCTATGTTTAAATTAACCATATTTGAAGATAACATGAGGATCAGGATTGGTCTTTAGCTTTACTGGAACTTTTTTCCTTGTTTAAGTATGGTTGGAAGAAGATGTCGGTTTCTTAAGACTTTTCGGTCGTGGATGAAAACTGTGATAAATAGAAATTATTGACATTCATTGGATAGCATTAGAAAATAATATTCATTCTTCTAAATCATTGATGGGTAACCAAAGCTAGTGAGTGGGTGGCATGAGTGACCCTCCATCTCAGTGGGCTGCAAGATTGATCACATGCTCTATGACCACAAGAATAAAATTAAATATTTCACACTTGATTCTCCCTTATCATGCTTTTTCAACACAGTGATCCATTATTAGCAGCAAATTAAATTGCTGGCAAAAGTAATATAAAGGAGCAAAAGGCATGCACAGATCTCAGGGTATGTCTACACTACCACCCTAGTTCAAACGAGGGTGGTAATGTAGTCAACCGGAGTTGCAAATGAAGCCCGGGAAATTCAAATCCCGGGCTTCATTTGCATGTTCCCGGGCGCCGCCATTTTTAAATGCCCGCTAGTTCGGACTCCATGCCCCGCGGCTACACACGGCATGAACTAGGTAGTTCGGACTAGGTTTCCTGGAACCTACCTAGTTCGTGCCGTGTGTAGCCGCGGGGCATGGAGTCCGAACTAGCGGGCATTTAAAAATGGCGGCGCCCGGGAACATGCAAATGAAGCCCGGGAAATTCAAATCCCGGGCTTCATTTGCAACTCCGGTTGACTACATTACCACCCTCGTTTGAACTAGGGTGGTAGTGTAGACATACCCTCACAATGTTGTGTGCAATCAGCACGCACCTCACGTGTGATCTTGCTTTAAATGTGTGTCACTTCACATTTTGCCAGGGACTCCCACTTCACCCCTTCTCTCAAATCCCCACCAGGCCTCTTCCCTGCCTCCTCCCCGAAGCGTGCCTGGACCTTCTCTTTCCCCAGCAGGGGTAAGGGACAGTAGTTCATAGTAGCGGGGGTTGAATCTGCATGTGTTTGTGGACTTGGGCATACTGCATTTTTCTGTCACCAATTTCTGGGGTGATACATAGGCCAGTTCACACCTCAGAGCTATTGTTTCAATCTTTTTGCATTCTCAGGCTGACATCGCTGCATCAGGGATACATATTTGGGTCATGTGTTTAAGCTTTTCTTTGTGACCCTAAGGAAAGAAACTTTACTGTTTTCTAAATTAACAGTTACCTTCTGACCATGGTTTAGGACTACAGGCAGTCCCCGACTTACGCGGATTCGACTTATGTCGGATCCGCAGTTACGAACGGGGCTGCCCCAGAGTACACGGACTGCGGGACCTCGCGGTTCTGCTGCCCGCGTACTCTGGGGCTTTGCTCTGCGTCTCCCTGGTCTGCAGACCAGGAAGACGCAGAGCAAAGCCGCGGAGGGGCTCGGGGCGGCGGGCAGGCCCCCTGCCCCGGGG